GGCGCGTGTTAGACACCCCACCATCCCCGGCGCTCCACACCACCAAAGAGCTAGGGGACAGCCGGGAGTGCTTCAAAAGTTCCAGGCCAGCAGGAAGATAAGTGGCTGCTGCTGGGTGGGGGAGGTAGTGAGGGGGTATGTGGGGGTGGGCGAGAGTGCAAGAGGGTGCACAAGAGGTGCCATGCGGGTCAGGAAGGGTGTATGGGGGTGCGGCATGAGTTGGGAAGGGTGCACGAGTGGCTGGCGTGGTGCGAGCACAGAGGCGCTGGGGAGGGTGCGCTGGTGGGGGAAACTTACCCCAGTGACTTGCGACCTTCCCTGTCAGCTTCCCCACTGACTTTCTGGGGAAGCTGGCAAGGAAGGTTGCAAACGGCAATCACATGATTGCAGGGTACTTGGCAACTGGTCATAAGTGCAAATGGGTTGCCAAGTGACCAGATCTCAATCACATGACCACAAGGGCACTGCAACCTCAGTAACTTCAGGTACCAGTCATAATTCCCTTTGTTCAGCACCGTCATAACTTCGAACGGTCGGTGAATGAATGGTTGTAAGTTGAGGACTACCTGTAAGGGCAAACTGACCTGCCAAGTTTCAGATTAATAGACTCAGGTGAGGTTTGTAAAAAACCAAGCAATTATGTTTTGGGCATTCCAAAACAAATGGGTGAAATCTCCCTTAAACTATACAGTAGATAATTATTCCAGAATATGAGATACATTGTATAGTCTTCTCTAACCTAAGTGCCCTCCAGATGTATTTCCAGAATTTTCAGTAAAGAATATGCTGGCTGAGAAATTTTGGAAACTGGTCCACACATCTCGAGTGTATCCAATTGGTTTCAGACTTTAAGCACAACAGTAAAAATCAACTCTTCAGAAATTCAATTCCACATTGAGTAAAAGCAAAACTTTCACAGATACAACATGGCTAGATAAGATGCTTTGCTGCTAACAAGAAAAGCTACAGAACACAGGAATCAATATTTTTATGTCAGCCCCAGAGTTTAAATCCTGACCTTTGTCTCCTTCCCCTTTGAGTCAACAGATTTTAGCTATTCTTTTCACAGCCTTGGGAGTTGTAAACATCTGTTTCATGTTTATGTAATGGCTCTGCCTTTCCTCAGAATGACTGGTTCCAACTTTAAAACCACCAGCCTTTATGGCTGAAGAAAGCTGGTATTTCAAAAAATGAACACAGTATTTTTGGTATAAGGGGAATCTTCAAATACTTAGATAGGGGGAAATCATTCATTTTATCAATACCTATATTTTTGGGATAGGGAACCTGTATGAAAATGGCATATCTCATAGACTTGTTCCAAGGCAAGAAACCTGCTAAATTTCAGAAAAAGGTAGAGAATTATGAAAAATACTTTTTGGTGTTCTATTCACATCGAATTCGTAGAAAGTGCAAGTCAGTAGGTAAAGGTATTGGACAGTGGCAGAGGGACCTGAATATTCAGCATCTTACAAAAAGGATGCAATGTTATATCACCCCAGACAGAGTTCCTAGCCCAAATTACCTAAACATTACTGAACTCTAGCAGTTCTACAATGCATTACATCAACATTCCTCTGCTTTAGAGAATTCAGTATCAAA